CGTCAAAACAGCTACCCCATACCTCAGAGAAATTCCGAGGCCCTTAACCACACCAGAGACTTCAGCACTTCCTACCAGCAGAGGAGCTACAGTGGGAATCGTATCCTAAACGTGGCTCATCAAGACAAGCTGGGGTATGAACAGCTGGAGAGGGAGCAAGCAGGATGTTACCAAAATGGTATTTCCTCTTCAGAAAGCCTCCATGATCAATCTGCTACATCTGTAAACAGCTGTAGAGACAGAGGCCTTTATCCCCCCTCTTCAGACTGTGAAGCAGTATACAACCATCTGGACTATGACTGCATTATGTCCTCTAAGGCGCCACAGAACAGCCAGCTACACAACCAAAGTCAAACACAATCATTTGACCAACAGCAGTCATGGAACCACGAGGTTTCTCAGATTAATTATAGGCACCAGCCACAGGCTGAAACCAGAACTACACGACAGTCTAGTTTAAAGCCTCTTTCTCACTCTGATACTATAGACTCCACAGCCCCCAGCCCATGCAAATCCAAATCCCTGGGAGACTTAACCTCTGAAGACATATCATGCAACTTTCAGAGCAAATACCACATTATTAGTCGCAGTTTCATCACGCCCCATATGAGGAAGCAAAAGAAGTCGGGCACCATAGAGGGAGTAACTTTCCAGTCACAGTCTTGTGATCCTCTTACCGAACAGCTACGTAAGCTGGTCAGTTTGGAGGGGGATGACAGTGACATTGATAGGCCCCAGTCTCCTCAGTTGCAAGCAAAATCCCCACTGTCACAGCCACAGGCACCAAGTTTAGCTCCTGTTGTGTCCAGGGATATAGATGATTCCCCTCCACCCCTAACACGTCGCCTATCCTCCCGTAGTCAAAGCCGTGTACGTCACATCAATAGCCGGGCTCGCGAAAGACAGCAAGAAGCTCTAAAACCTCGCTCAGGGGTGGTCATCAACAGCACTGGTGGCATTGGTGGGGTGGTATTAAGGAATAAACCAGCCTCACAGAATCCGAACAGACACTCTACTGGTTCTTACATAGCAGGTTATCTTGGTCAGCTGGAAGACAGGGGACTTCCCGAAGGAGCTTGCACATCATTACGTTACGGAAATGGTGACCATTATGGAGATCGATACTATACTGATGACTCTCTTCCACCTGCAAACACAAGCCACTCAGTGTCTGAGCCCGAGGTCTACTTTCTGCTCAGACTCTAATTCTGATAACTTTACATGGAATTAAGAATCTGCCAGTGATTCTTGATTAACTTCAGTTATACCAAAAGTCTGGGGATCAATGAAATAAGCACTTGCTTGTTCTCATGTTTGCTAACCCCAAGTTGAATAAATGTTTATTCTGGGCTGTTTTTAGAAAAGACAAAAGTGAAGCATCTCATATAATCCATGGTTGGATCTGACAGCATGAATTGCCTGTATGAAATGTCCACTATTTCAATAGTGAATGGTGTTTCTTGTCGGCTATATATTGTCTGTATTCTGCTTAATGTGTAAATGTACTTGGGAACTTTGAGTCCCTCCAAATGGCTTCCTAGACTGATTGTACAGATACTTGTTATCTTTGTCCCTGTGATGTACTGTCCAAAATATGTACACTGACTATGAAGCAAAAAAAAGAAGTATTGGCTGTTAAGCAGAGAGGGAATGTCTTTCTTTGTATCATTTGAATGTGTAGTAGTATCAAACAGCTAGTTTGAATTGATGGATTTCATCTTCATATCAAATGTAAGTCTTCCTTCTCTTTCCAGTGGTATTTCTTTATTTGTGTTGTGTGTAAATATTCCTGACATGATTTTTCATCTCAGATGAGTTTTAGTTGAGAATCAGTTCTAACTGTACATTTATGTTTGTGCATGTTACTTGTGAACATGTCAAGCATGACTATGCATCAGTTTATACAATAGGTGTTGCATTGACCAACCTTATTTGCACAGAACAAACAGTTGTATTGGATACAACAGAGGGCATAGGCTGGTTTGTATTGGGTGCAATACAGTACATAGACTTCTTTGCTTGGACTTGTTGCTCTTTTTGATTTGTAGAATTTGAAAATGTGATTGCAAATTAAGAAAAAATTGAGTTTAAAGGTTTTTATTTTTATAATTGCTTTGATACAGACTGCAAAAATGATCTTTTAGTTCTTTTCATTTTTATTTTGTATACGTGATGGACTGAAAAGGAAGAGTGACAACTACACTGGGCCAAGCAGAGGAGAGGAGCGTAGTAAGACTGCAGTTTTGGTTTTCTTTTTTGTTTCAGTGTTGCACCATCTTTTTTCTTTGTATGGCTGCTCACTGAAGAACTATGAGCATTTTCTTATCAATGCAATAAAATTATGAGATATTTGGTTTCAGAAAATGACATGTTTTTTTCTGTGTAGTACAAGATAATCAATCAAGAATGCGGCTGAAGCTCAAAATCGATTCATTGCAAGACATAAACAGCCTCTTCTTTCCCCGTAACGTAACGGGATGTAATTGCTCATGAAATGTAATAGTGTAATAGAAAGTGTAATACAGCTGACAAATGATACACCTGTTGCTCTGGATACACAACTCCCACAGTACAAACGTCCAGGGAAATATGAGAGAAAAGAGGCATACAGCTAGATAGTTTGAATGTTTGTTTTTTTTATTTATTCAACTTTAGGCTCATTAAGATAAGATTTGAGCCAAGACTTTTCTACCCTAATGCTCAGTATCTCAGTCGCCTTAGTTCATCCACACAATACCAAACATCACAACATCTATAACAGTGGCTGTAAACTTTGCTTTCCAAATGAAATATTAAAGTTCCAAGCCACCTAAAAGCAAGAGACAGTGAAAATTGCCTTAATTATAAAGCTAATTTAATGGGTTTTAGAAAGGCTATGAGATGTTGTTATTTTTCTTATGTCAGCATAATACACACAATCTACTTTTTAGGTACAGCTTGCTAGCACCAAGTTGGACAGCCCCAGAGGATGGATACACTGTTATAAAAGGATGGACATGGTTAGCAATAAAAGGTAAACTGTGGCGTTTAAATGATGCTTAGTTGGTGCTAAGGGACCAAAGGTGTGCTAGGACAATATTCTCCACACCATTAAACCACCAGCAGCAGCCTGAACACCTGACAGAAGGCACAATGAAGCCATGCTTTCATGTCATTTATGCCAAGTTGTTATTCCTGCAGCTTAAATCGAGTCATCAGAACAACATTATTTACATTTTGTAATTAAATTTTTCCCAAAGGAACTGCTGCTTGCTGGATAGTTTCTCTTTTTCAGATCATTCTTTGTAAACCCTACAGATGATTGTGTGCAGATCAGCAGTTTCTGAAATACACACACCATCCTGTCCAATGCTAACAACCATGGCAAGTTTCTTATATCACTTTTTGAACTTCAGCAGACCGCCTTAAATGTATGTGATTGGCTAGTTGGATATTTTTATTAGCAAGTAGTTGAACAGCCATACCTAACAAAGTGGCTGGTGAGTGTATATGTACATAGTCTACAGAATTCTGGTCAGTAGCTGGTTTTGCCAGCTACAAACATCAAACAGTAAAGAAAAAGTAAGAAGAATCAAGACTCAATTAGAAAAATCACCGGAAGAAAGATTTGAAGGGCAGCTGGGAACTCGATCCAAAGGAGGATAAATAGTTTTCTAGTTATTTTTTGGATTAACTCCTGCGCTACAATGACCACAGATTATATAAAAAAAATATTCACCCATCTTATTTTACACTTTACCGTAATTTCACTTGAGTTTGAATCATCTATATAAATGTAATGTCAAGAATTTTAGAACACATATTTAAAAAACAATTAAACAAGTTAAGGTGTAGCACTGGAATTCCAGAAATGACTGGAAATCTTTCGGAGAAATAAGGCTTTCACAAGAATTTGCAGATGTTTATTCCTTGTATTTAAAAGATCTTTATTATTATTATTATTATTATTATTATTATTATTATTATTATTATTGTTGTTGTTGTTGTTGTTGTTGTTGTTGTTGTTGTTGTTGTTGTTATAGTATTTTGTGTTCTGCAAACACTACTATTTTTGAGCCATCTGATACTGCAGATAAAAAAGATAAAATTAATTAGATCAGATGTGATGTAGAACAAGTCTTGTACACTAAATACATTTCTATTCCTGTAAGCAAAAATGATAGAGCATTTCTAAAATATTGTTTTGAGCCTGCAAATAGCAGGGGAATAGTATTTTAATAGTAATTGTAGTAATAGTAGCAATCTTGAAAAAATTGGGCTTCCACAAGTGCCTGTGTAGTCCAACTGCTCTGGGAATTTGTGCAGTCAGAGCGCCTTATTTCTATTTTTTTTAATCTATTGAATTAATGTAAGCATTTGTTGTGCTCATTCACTGCACCAACACTTCACAATTACCTAATTTTATATAAAATACTAATGACCTCCCGGGGGTACAGGATACATGTTACAGGAACCATACTGTACTCTCATACACACACACACCACTGCCAACTGCATGCATGCTAATTTCTTGTTAGCATTCAAGTGTTTTTCCACTATTACTCTGGAGAGGAGTCATTTTATTTTATCTGCTGCTTGAGTCATCAGTTTTACTTCCTTTCAAAATGCTTCCCACCTGTTATAAATACCCACATCAACACCTGACATGTGCAGAGAGGGAGGCAGATATGTGTTGGTCGAGATAGTGTGGACTTTGTAACCAGGTGAAATCATGTTTTTGTTTAAAATGCCCTTTCTTCTTGAAGAACTCATATGAAGCTCTATAGGATTTAATTAAATGTTTTATTTAGTAAAAGTGTATTTGACTTATTTTACAGGTTTGATGAAGCTGTTTTGGGGTGAATTGTGTTTTACATTTACTAGATTTACTGTAATTACGATTCATGAATTTTCTGACATTCATGTGTGACATATCCAGAATGGCTGCTTCCACATTTTGGCTCCCCTTGCATCCCACTAAGTGGCTCTCCTCAGCCCTCTCCCTGCTGCTTGTCAGCATAATGGGTAAACCAGTGGGACTGCAGGGGGTGCAGGTGACGGTGTGCTCCCAGTTGGGTGCGCCAAGCAACAGGGGTGTCTTTCAGGACGGAGATGTGATTATCGGTGGACTCTTTAGTTTGCATTACATACCTTCAGCTGTAGAACAGGACTACACCAGACTGCCACATTATGAACCTTGTAGCGGGTAAAACTTACTCAAAACATGTTTGTCTGTTTGCTGCAATAAGTATCATTTCATATTATGAAATCATATCCTGTAACCTTGCCTTTCACAGGTTGTTTAATTCACTATGATTTTTTTTCCTCCTGTGGTCTCAGTTTAGATTTACAAGCACTAAAATATATGTATGCTATGGCATTTGCCGTGGAGGAAATAAATCAAAACAGTGCTCTGCTACCAGGAATAAAACTAGGTTATCATATACTTGATAGCTGCGGCCGATACCCCTGGGCTCTGCAAAGTGCTCTCTCACTGGTTGGAGGAGACAGACACAGCTGCAATTTAACAGCCTCTACACTTTATTCTGAAGCTTATGAACAACCCGGAGAGACAGCAGGTTTGATTTCAAATGTCATGAAGTTAAAATTTGAAAAGTTCATGTCAAACAACAAATAATATGATCCTATGACTGTGTAAAGATGCTGCTTTTATTTATTTATTTATTTATCCAATCATCAGGCGTTCAGCCTGTTCCTTTACTCATTGGAGGTCACGCATCTACAACAGGAGTGATACTGTCTAGGATCCTAGGGCCTCTCTCTGTACCAGTTGTAAGTTTTTATAATGGGAACAATGACTGATGATAATATTGTATAGTCATCTTTAAAGAGCTAATATATTTTGTAAGTTGTAAAAAACTGATATTTGTGTGGCTCACAGATCAGCTATTTGGCTAGCTGCCCCTGTCTTAGTGACAGGTCGAACTTTCCTAACTTCTTCAGAACAATCCCCAGTGATATCTACCAAGCTCGGACCATGGCACAACTGGCCATACGCCTCAACTGGACTTGGATTGGAGCTGTGCTTGCGAACAATGATTATGGTCAAAAGGCAATACAGGTGCATGTTTTCCTATTATGCTGTAAATTGCTGAATAAATCTTTGTGTCCATCTTATATAATAAAAGATAACATAGTGGATGTTTATACCTCCATATTTCAGGTATTTCAGGAAGAGATTAAGGGGAAAAGGGTGTGTTTAGAATTCATTGAGACTGTTCACAGAGAAACTATTGTGAGTGATGCCAGACGGGTGGCGCTTACGATCCAGTCTTCAACTGCAACTGTGATTCTGATCTTTTGCTGGTATACAGATGTACAGAAAATATTTGTGGAACTTGCCAAGAGAAATGTGAGTAAAATATATTGACACTAGTAGCATAGGAGTTCATCAGTAAACACAAACTTGTGTTCTGAAAAATAAAAGCACTGCTGGTTTTATTGCAAATTTCCTTAGGTGACTGGCAGACAGTTTCTGGCCAGTGAGGCCTGGAGTACCAGTGACGATCTTCTTCAAGATATTACAATCTCTAAGGTGGCAAGTGGGGTTCTTGGTGTTGCCATTCGGAGTTCAACAATACCTGGATTTGAAAATTATCTAAAAAAGTTGAGCCCATCTCATCATCCTGATGATGAATTTCTGAGAGAATTTTCGGAAAAGGAGTTTAGATGCAGTATTGTGAATGCCTCACACAATACTTCTACCTCATCCCATGTGAAAAAAGCTTCTATACCACCCTGCAGTGGGACAGAGTCCATAAATGAAGTGCAGCATTTCTTTAGCGACATCACCCAGCTAAGAGTAGTGTATAATGTCTACCTTGCTGTTTATGCTGCAGCCCACGCCCTTCACAGCCTACTCTCCTGCCCCAGTGGAAAAATCCCTCCTCAAAACAACATCTCTTCTTGTTCCTCTCCAAAACACATCAGAACTGTAGAGGTGATCATAATTATCACTGTGTGAGCTATTAAACACAAGTGCTGGACTTTAAGATTTCAATAAGTTGAATACTATAAAGCACTTTCATAAATGCTTTTTATATTCTCAATACTGTGCTTTCAGCTATTGCGACACTTAAACACAGTGAATCTCACAACACCACAAGGAGAAGTGTTTTATTTCCAAGGAGGTGACCCCCGAGCAAAGTATGACCTTGTGAACTGGCAGAACACACCCAAGGGGACGCTAAAACTTGTTGTGGTCGGTCATGTAGATGGTTTTGACCTCCACCTTAATGAGTCAGCTATTCAGTGGAGCACAGGATCAAATCAGGTAGTCAGATTAACAAACTGCCTTAAGGTTACTGATTAATTTGCTGCAGAAAGTAGTGTTCTTGTCATTTTTTTATAAGATTATGCCATGTGTCTTGGGGTTTTTATTTAGGTGCCTGATTCAGTGTGCAGTAAAAGCTGTCGCCCAGGTACACGGATGGCAGATAGGAAAGGGGAACCTGTCTGCTGTTTTGACTGTATCCCATGTGCTGAAGGGAAGATTAGCAATAAAACTGGTAAGGAAATGTAAGCAGAGTTCTGGGGTAGTGTTTACCCTGACCCTTGTCTACTTTAAGTTCATCTGCACTTTTTATTTTCCTATTTTCAATCTGCTTTTCCTCACTTCTTTACCAGATTCACTTCAGTGTGAGCAGTGTCCGTCTGAGTTCTGGTCTAATGCTGAAAGAATTGCCTGCATCCCTCGCCAGCTGGACTTTCTTTCCTTTAATGAAACTTTGGGCATTACTCTCACGACAGCAGCTGTGTCTGGTGTCAGTGTGACAACCGCTGTCTTTGTCGTGTTTCTATTCTACCGTCAAACACCTATGGTGAGGTCTTTGACAAAATGTGAAATAGAGTTTAAAGTATTGATTCATTGTTTCATATTTATTTATTTTTTCTCATATCCAGGTACGAGCCAACAATTCAGAGCTGAGCTTCCTCCTTCTTCTGTCACTCAAGCTCTGCTTCCTGTGCTCGCTTGTGTTCATTGGCCACCCGTCGGTCTGGTCCTGCCGGTTCCAGCAGGCTGCATTTGGGATCAGCTTTGTGCTTTGTGTTTCTTGCCTCCTGGTAAAAACCATTGTGGTTCTGGCTGTTTTCCGCTCAGCTCGGCCTGGTGCTGAAACTTTAATGAAGTGGTTTGGCCCAGGCCAACAGAGAGGAAGTGTCTGCTTCTTTACCTGTATACAGGTGCACATATTCCTGTATTGATGACATAATGAGAATGTTTGCCAATAGTGTCCTTTCTCTATAGTAGATCACAATCTTTTTTATTAGCTGTCTCATCTACAAATAAAGTACATTAATGTACAAATGAGGTAAATTAAAAAATGTTGGCAACAACAGTGGAGTAAGAACATTTAAATATTACTTTTGGGCATGATTTTTACAGTAAAATTTCATTGGAAATCCCATGCTTGATTATAATAATATTTTTTTTAAATAATAATAACTTTGAGGTTTGTTTGTTCTCCATACAGGTTATCATCTGCGTTATATGGCTCTCTCTCAGTCCCCCTAGGCCTCAAAGTGATTTTGGTTTTCAAGGGTCAAAGGTCACCTTGGAGTGCACCATGGAGTCTGTCGTAGGCTTCTCCCTTGTCCTAGGCTACATTGGCCTGCTGGCCTGTACCTGCCTCCTCTTGGCATTTCTTGCTCGTAAACTTCCAGACAACTTCAATGAGGCCAAACTCATCACCTTCAGCATGCTGATTTTCTGCGCTGTTTGGGTGTCCTTTGTGCCTGCCTACATTAGCTCTCCGGGGAAGTATGTTGTTGCTGTGGAAGTTTTTGCAATACTTGCCTCTAGCTATGGTTTACTGCTTTGCATTTTTGCCCCCAAATGTTTCATTATTCTTTTGAGGCCTGAGAAGAACACAAAGAAACATCTTATGGCTCGATAGTTTTTTTTGTAGAGTGTAGAATTCTTTTTACATTTGTCTTTTATTAATAACTGAATTGAATTAGAAAAAGTAGTGGTGTTCTACTGTTAGTAAATAATAGAGGATAGAATCAAATATAATGCAATTATGTGTTCTTTATCAATGTTTTTAGTGGGTTTTTTTCCCTGAGTTTTAATTAAAACCTGCACCAAAACCCAGTAAAATGCTTCACTTTGTTTGTTCTAGGCCATTTTTTGTTTTTTTGTTTTTTCATTATGCCATCCACATAAACTGATTTAAATTCAGTGATTGCTTTTGTAACTTACTGATATGTTGTGTTGATAATAAATTGAGAGTTCAGGACAACTTATCACAACCATTACACACCAGTTTAAAGACAACAGGCCAACCCAAAACACTTATAGATATCAAATACTCAAAGATGTGCTGAGGCGACTTATGATATCATTTGGTAGTAAATAAATAAAATGGCATTGGACTTTGATAATGGAAGATACACACTCCATACAGAGAGGACTAATCTGTCAGGCAGATCACATTAATATCTTATATATTCTAAATATATACAACAATCAAAGTTCATGATAAATAGGTAGATGTCACATACACAAATAACTTTAAAGATGGGGTAATATGTAGATTTTGCTGAAACTGCATGTACCAAGTCATGGCCAGCAGATGGTAGTGTCATACCATTTATTGATACTCTGTTCCTTCCTCTGGCTACTTTGAAAGTAATGTACATACAGCACTCTTATGACATTGCAAACAGTCTTTTCTTTGACCCAAATAAATTTGTCTCAGTCCAAATACAATTTGCAATAACAATACAATAAAGTTCATGGATTGCACTGTTAGTCCATGTTTTATTTTCAAAGGTAATTTTGGGGTTAACTGTGTTTCTACTCACATCTCTCTCTCACCACCGTATGTCACTTTAGACTGTGTATTTCAGTCACTGACATCTGCCACTTCCTGTAAACCATTTTGAATAGACAGTATGGTTTATGTGTGGCACAGAATAAGGATTTGAGGTTGGTACATCAACCACCCTACAACTATTCACAGCGGTGTTTTAGACGAGAGCCGTGCATGTATATTGGCGTAAGGGCACTCTCTGCTGGCTATTTTCAGATAATTTCCTCTCTGAGTGGATTCTTTACAGTGCCATTTCTGAGACAGGGGCAATCTGAAGGGGCTTTTTCATGAACAGGTTCCTTCCCAATAAACAATTTTTCATTTGCATGTAAAGCTGAAAAGCTGGATGTAATTTCCTTTTGAATTTGTTGCCATGACCCTGTACGTGTTATATGAAACTACTCTATGCTTTTATACTTACAGAAAATAAAACAAGTCTGTTTAATAATAATAATAAGGAATTCTGAATACCACTTTGTCCATTTATAATAATAATAAATAAGCAAATAAATAAGCAAATATTTTAATCTATTGTTACCTCATCCATTTAAATTAATCATTTAGAGGCCAAATAGAAGTAGAGGTCGTGTCATTTCTTGCCATGTTTAAGCCATGTTCCATTTTCTTTTTTTTAATTGTGAAATTCCTATACACACAGCAGGCTGTTTACACCTTAGTGCAGATGATTACCAACAGTGGTAAACCCTGGAAACTTAATGAAAGGGTCATAGTGACCTGGAGTACAAATTGTTTGGAGCTTCCCTTCCTTTTTCCACTAATGACAATAATGATAATAATGGATTGGATTTATATAGCGGTTTTCAAGGCACCCAAAGCGCTTTACAATGCCACTATTCATTCACTCTCGCATTCACACACTGGTGGAGGCAAGCTACTAATGTATAAATATCTCATATCATGATGTACTCCTATATGAGTGACCAAAATGCTCTTCGAAAGGCTAAATTTTCAGCCAAACTATATATTTTTTAACCTCCTAGGACCTGGCGTCCACATATGTTGACATCACATTTTGGGTTATTTAGACCAAAATACTAAATTTTTCTCTACTAGGGCCTGATATCCACTTACGAAGACATTATACGGCTACTGTTCTATCAGAATTTTAAACGAATATCCCCATATGTGGCTCTCATTTTTGTTAGAAACAAAAATTTGGCAAAAAAAAAAAATCTGCTAATTCTTTGTTTTTACATTCATCAGGACCCAATCAGCCCAAATATCACAGAGAAATTAAAAATGCATGCCGTGGAAGAGTTCGGGTCTTAGGAGGTTAAAGTGTCCTACATGATTTTTTTCAATTGATTTCTACTTCTACTCAACTTCTGTTTCAAGACACTTTATATTATAAGGTGAAAAAGCTACAATAAGAAAAAAAAGAAGAAAATCTCAATGATCAGATGACCCTTTTGAACAACCATTTGTCAACAGTGGGAAGGAAAAAAAAACTCCTTTGAACAGGAAGAAACCTCTGGCAGAACCAGGCTCAGGGAGGGGCCACCATCTGCCACTACTAGCTGGGGGTGAGGAGAGAGGGACAGGACAAAAGACAAGAGCAAGAGAGCCAGATAATAATAATGATTAAGTGCAAAGTAGGTATAAACAGAGAGAATGAAAAGACGTGACTGAAGAAGAAATGTTTATTATGGGAAATCCCCATCATAGACCTGTTGCAGCACAAGAGAATTAAGGGTCACCTGATCTACACTTATTATAAAGCAAAGTTTTAAGCCTAATCTTAAAAGTGCAGAGGGTATCTGTTTACCTGAAGCAAAACCTAGAGGTAGCTTCAAAGAGGGGCCTGAAAGCTAAAGGCTCTGCTTACCATTTTACTTTTAAATACCCTAGGAATGACAAATAAATCAGCAGTCTGAGGGCAAAGAAGTATAAGATTGGCCCTGATTATTCATGACCCTGCATATGAATAATGTGCCATGTTTTCTGAAAAACCACAAAACACAGCACAAAAAAATACCTCACAGCTTCCTTGGCACTTTGTACCATGACCCTTTTAATAGGACTTAACTCCATGGGAAATAACACGCAAAACATGGTTTGCTGGTGCAATCTGTCAGTAAAACAGAAAAGGATTAAAGCTTCAACTATAGATCAGATTCAAACAATTTAATCAAACGTTTTTCCTTTGTGAATACTTTTTGTTTTGCATTGTATAATTCTTTTCAAATAAGAAGTGCAAGCTCATTTGGATTATGATAATCACATGTGTGGTACATGTGAACAAGCACCTATATAACTGAATAAAATGGGCTGACAACTATATAACACTTTTCTAGTCATACTGACAACTCACACTGCTATGATACAACCTGTACTGTTTGCACACTTGCCTGCATGTAGATATAAAAGTATAAAAAAAAAAGGACAAATCATTGGTGGTTCACACTTGAATATGTTGATTGAAATTTAATTTGAAACAGTCCAAACCCAATTTCACTCAATAGATCTCCCAGGGTAAATACGGGGATGTTTTGTACACATACTTGTCACTGAGCATGACCAACTTGCATGGATTTATAATGTTTTATTGCTCCTGGTGGTACAGCTTATTGCATTTTTGTATTACTACTGTTTCCTATTTTGGAGTCAAATCACATGTTAACTTATCTAATTATAACTGATTAGATTTATGTGAACAGCTCACATCTGTACACAGTCAGGAATAGTCACTGAATAGACATCCCTGTCTTTGTCACTGTTGTGTGAACTCATGGATGCAAAACTCACCAGAGCTGCAGCAGTCTTTTTTTTTTTTTTTTTTTTTTTGCAGCAGTCTTGCGACAGATGTAGCTGCAAATCTCACCATCAGCTGGTAGCAATTAAGTGTCAACACTATGGCCTCCTTCCATAATACTAGATACCAGATCTGGCTCTCTCAGCTCCAGGTGTAGGGGAAGACCTGAACTCATTGCTTGGTTATATTTGTTAACATCTGTCAGGTTTACGGCCTAGTGCAAATTTGATATTTTAGCAGGTCAAACATGCTGTTTGTTATTCCCCGGAGACGTGGGGGTGCCTCTGCAAAGCACTGGGCATCCCGGCTTAATGCCAAATGTTCAGTTAGAGTGAACATTCAACCTAAATAATACAGTGAAATAGCTCCATTTCTATTTCAAAACATTTCTATTATAAAAACAACCATTTGAATGGGTGTGGTATGTGTGGTTTTTTTTCCATTGTTATTCAGTTCAAATTAAATCTTCTAAACCTGGTCAACAAAATGTTTCCAAGGAAAATCTATTGGTCTATGTAGTCACCGCCCTCCAGGTAAATACTCCAGTTTCTGCAGCACACACCAGTCACCCTCAGTGATGTTTTGCTCATCTTGTTTACTGCTTTAAATATCAGGCTTACAGCTCTTATAAATACCTAGAACAACATCTTTGTTTTGCAGAGCAAGAGACGGGTATGTCAGTTCAGATATCTTGCCAGCTTGTAGTGGAAACTATCTTTGTTGTCATATTGTCTTGAAATGTTCTCCTTCAGTGGTAAACATCCAGGAACAAGTATTTTTCTTACTTTATAAAGAAAAATATAATACAATTAGGCATTTCGGGAACTGTTAAACCTTAGCTATACAGATTTTTATTTTGCAAATTTTATAAATGTATGATACACCATTGAGAAGTTATTTTAATATGATATGCATATTTGAAATATCCAGAACAGCTCTGTCCATGTCCTGGGCCAAATGGATCTTCATTCTTTGGTCCTGCACTGCTCCATCCCTGCTCCTTGTAGGGCTTGTGGGCAGACAGCTGGGGCTCCAGGTGGGGGTGCAGGTAGTTCAGACGATGACCTGTTCTCGGTGGGGTACACCTAGAGACCAGGGTTTATTTGAAGATGGAGATGTAGTTATTGGTGGGCTCTTTAATCTTCATTACAATCCTCCAGCTATAAACTATGACTTCACTCAGCAGCCCTACAACAATACTTGTACTGGGTAAATCTATATGCATCTTTTTACTCTTATAACTGTACAATTTCACTGCATTTTGGAAAAACAGGAAAAAACAGAAGATAACTCTATTATTTTTATTTCT